ATAGTGTGTTTGTAGATTTGTTACCTTTTCAAAACGAAACGGCTTAACGGATCTTAATGATATATTATATATGGTAGTTTGCATTACATTGGTAATTGTATTGACAAGACATAGATATTTTAAAATAAAAAAGATAATAATCTTCATTCAAATGAAATTAATATAAGAATTTTTTAATAGTATATAGTATACAATATTTTTTTATTCTAATACCCATTCGGAATGCAGAATTATCACAATAAGAATGAGCCAGAAACTCACATGTTGGTCTTTTATATAAATGTTGGTCTAACATACAATAACAAGGATTAGGCACGTGAGAGTTGACATTGAAAGCGCTATGCGCTCAATATCTGTGCAATCAAAAAATATTGTTAGCGTTATGAAGAGGAGAAAACGTTGGATGATAGGTGATGGGTGAATATTTAGTTATTTATTTTGTATCTATCTTTAAACAGTCAATTATGCATTTATTATTTTTCTATAATGTATTCATGAGGAGAGAAGACGGCGCAATTTTTTTTATATAATTGTTATATGACAATGGTACATTATAAATCACTGCCATTTCGATAAAAAGTGCGAACTGTTTCATAACAACATGAACAGCACTACCACCCACATTACGAAATGCATTAATAACGCCTATCATACTTCCTACGTTGTAATTTCAGAGAACTACGTCAGTAGCTCCTCAGTATACGACAACCTCGGTGCTGTAGCGGTTTACTTCTAATGGTCGCGGGTTCGATTCCTCGCACGGTGCAAATATACACAATTGTATTCATGTGTATGATTGTTTGTATCCATCTGTGTGTTTTCTTCGAATATTGTATATATATCTACAAAAAGTATATATATCTAAGTGTTTATATGTTCTTTATGGGTACCATAACACAAGCTCTGCTTACCGTTGAACTAGATGGCCCTGTGTCAATTGTGCAGAGTTATTTATTTATATATTCAGCATACATCATTATAGATACTAGGATTCATCCAATAATTTAGTTACATACAATTATTAGTAAAATAAAATAAAAATACCGTTCCAGGAAAATCATTTCTCAGAATAAGGACCACCTCAAGGAAATCACATTATCTGTAAATTGGAAACGACTCTTTTTTTGCTTTTATGTAACTCATTTCGAAATACAATATTGTAATATGGATTTACTATAAATTATTTACGATAATTTTAGTATGTTTCCTGCCATATTCAGAAACATCAAACACGCAATGGATACTAAAATACTTAGATGTATTGTAGTTAGCTGTTGTTACTCAGATGGGAATATAAATAAAAGAAAAATTGTATATATAAAAAAAATATTTTATTTATTTGAAACAAACTTATTCACGGTTATTTTCGTTTTTACACATTTTTTATTAATGAATGATAATGGAAAGTGAGTGAGTATATCCGTTTGCGGTAACGATTTAGGCTATCGTCTTACATGAGCCTGAAGTTAGGTCAGTTAGCTTATGGAGACAAATTCACTTGGAATTAACCACAATGGTTTGAACCTGACGTAAATTAATAATAACCCCTGGACAATTCATACGTCACCCAGTCCCGAGGTAAGCGGAGCTTGTGTTATGGATACTAAACAACTGATATAAATACTCTGACATTTTTTTGTAAATATATACATAATACACATAGAAAACATTCAGACCGATATAAACAATCATACTCCTGAATCCAAATGTTTGTACCGTGCTAGTAATAGAAACCGCGATCAACTAAAGTAAAGCAGTGCAGCAGCTAGTACCAGTAGTAGTAGTTAGTTTTTTTTATGTATAACACAAGTGTATAAAATACTTGTATAGTATTATATATAAAAGATTAATTACCACTAAGAGATGAATTTGCAAAAAAGCTTACTATAAAATTGGAGAATTCGTTAACGATAATAATGTTTTTATAGAAAAACTTTAAATCCATAGCACTGACAATATTATCTAATTACACTAATAATGAGTGCGTAGCGATTTCTATGTTGATTATCGCATGCCTCTTACTTGTTATACTGTAATTATTTATATAAAAAAAACATCTATTAAAAAGAGCAACACACAAGTTTCTTGCTCATTATTCTTGTCATGAATCTGCATTCCGAATGAGTGGTAGAATCAAAATATGACTATTCAAAAGTGCTTGTAATGGGTTTATTTGAATAAAGATTATTTCTATTTAATTATTCATGAAAAAATTGGCCAATCATATTTCTGTGAATATGCCGGAAAAACCGACGGAGCTAAAAGGTCAGTCAGACAAAGTGATAATGGGCTAGCCATATAGTTTGTAAAGTTGATATAATATTAATTGATAGGGACGGGCTTGGCCCTCTTCTTTAAGTTAATGTATATAACATATACATTATATAGGCAGTCTGATAAACAATTGCTATAATTATTTGATGACAATATGATATGAATTATTATTCTAAATATTTTCTCTCACGAGACTACAGCATGGGGTTTTTCAAGAAGGGATTAAGGTTTCTTAAGGGTTGGCAACGCACACTTGACACCCCTGGTATTTCAGGCGTCCATAGGCTACGGTAACCATTATCTTCAGATGGGCCGTATACTTGTTTGCCACCATAGTAGTATAAAAAAAATAAAAAAATAATCTATTCATATTACTACATAAACACATACACTTAAGAGATATATACACGCATGCAAACTTATATCCCTCCTCGCAGACACATGAGTATGACCGCATACATTCACTTTCATATAAAAAATGTATTATTTTATAGCACAGCAAAATATTATCTAAAATGCGCCGCTACTATATCGTCTTTCCACCTCATCTATGGGGTTAATTAAAGTTAAAGTTACATTATAAAAAAATGTGTAATGGCCAAAAAAATTCACGAACCACACGATGGAAAGTGGCAATCAAAAAGCTCCACGGATAATACAAAATATAGATAATATTATATTTAAGTAATAAAATCAAAATTAAGTATAATTTAATTGTAACTTGCACTCCGCACGGATGCATTACAAATCTTTAAATTTCTCAGCTCGTTCTATATTATAACATACAAAGTTTCCCTCTACTAGAGATATATTTTGCATAAGGTTGTCTACATGTGGCCATCTGCTTTAGGTAATCTGGTTTTATCGATCATGCAAAGGCTTTCGACTGTAGCTTGAGGGAGATGTTTTGCGTGAAATACGAATTTTACTTTTAATATGATTATAAATTGAATAATCATAAAGAGAAAAGTACTAGTTGTACCCTCGTTTTCTCACGCATGAAATTTGTAGCCTGTATTACTCCGATGTATATTATATAAGCTATATTATTATAAAGTTTCATTAATATCCATTAGTAGTTTTTGCGTGAAAGAATCATAAATATCCATGCATCATCTATCCACCCATACTCACGAACTTTCGCGTTTATAATGTTAGTAAAATAAGGCAATTTCTGGATGACGAAGATTAATTATATTATTTTTTGTAATCTTTCAATAATGTAAGAATAATTTAGTTAGATTACATATTTGTACGCTTAATTGCAAAAGGACAGTGAAGAAAGAAAGCAAAATATTAGAAAGAGAAACATTTTATTTATTCTATGTCCTTTGTTACATGTGTTTCTCAAATAAAGAATTAGAAGTTTGTAACAAATTTATTTATTTATTCATTTGCGGAACTAACACAAGATTAAGTTGTTTTATTCGTCTCTTTATTTCACTCTTTATTGCAACAAGAATAATTGCGTAACCGACTCAAAAATACAGTGTATTTCATTAAATGCATAATATATTAAATACACATACATACATAATGATGCATCGCCTTAATTTTGAAGTTGTTTCAAAATGGATCAAGAGTCATTTTAGAGGACAAGGCAGATTGCTTATTTATCATTTTACAAGATAATATTTCAGTATTATGTTTTTCTTTATTACAAAAGAAAATACTTTGTAATTTTGCCCGCATTATAGCTTATGATTGAAGTAAATTATTGTGGAGTTTTATAAGCCAAAGCCCATTAGTTATTTGCTGTGAGAAGTTAGATTTAATCAATAGTGAAATATTATTATAAATAAAAAAATTATTCATAAATTAAAATTAATTACTAATTTCAATATTTAGTTGTTTAATTTTTCAATTCAATTCATATTTTTTGGAATATTAGTTTTATTCGCGTAAGTAAAATTGATAGGTGCTTATAGAAAATATTCACTGAATAAACAAGGTAAATATAGTTCATACACATTGACTAGTTAAAAAAAGAAACTAAAGGCCTAATGTATAACATTGCTTTAATGGAAACTATTTGAGAACATTCGGACTAAAATACATCGATTCCTGTCGATGCTCTTCAAACATTTTTAATTAAAAAATAAGCCTGTCGATTGAATGAAAGCCCGTTGTTATTGGTTGTAATAAAAACATACAATGACATTAAAACCTACTCTTATTTACTTAATACTTGTATTTATTTCGTATATTAATAGATTTTTCCTAATAAAATTACAATTCTTTTGGATGTATCAAAATTCATAATGTAACAATATTTGTTATACTTTGTTGAAATTGACAATCGAAAATACATTAAACTATCCTTCTTTCTATTACCCATCGCATCTATTACAATAAACTATTTTTTTGCCTTTTGTAAATAATATGTAATTTTGATAATGTGCAGGTTTCTAGTCACCTGTATATAATAGCGAGGACAGTGCGCCTATAAAACTGACTACCCACTTGTAATGACAGCCATGAAGGAATATCTATGTTTGTTCATTTGTATAAAATATACGACCGACTCCAGAATATGTTTTACCAACTTTTCGAGTTGATTTCTATTTGATAGCATCAGAAGTCAGCTTTTTGTTTTCAAACAGGCCGCTGTTCGTGTGTGGGCACCTTATTCGGTCTGAGAGACCGGGACGGGGTAGGTGTACCACCTGCGACGTTCGCGTATCAGGACTTGGGGTGCCTCATTCGCGCCCAGACTGCCGGCAGCGATGGGCGTCCCGCGATACGGTACTACGCCACCCGGGCTAGAGCTCGAGCGCGGCAGACGACCCCACCTGTTGATCGTCGACGACTCGAGAGAAACGCGGGCGAGCGAAGGTTAGTTCCAAGTTTGAAATATTTTCTTTTTTCAAATCGTGTCGCAATTTTTTAATAAGAATTGTTATTTTTTCAAATTTTAAATAATATTATGTGCCAGTAGTGTTTTATGATAATTAAACAAGTTTGAAATATTTTCAATTCATGTAACGTCGTACTTTTTAAAACTTAATAGATTAATATTATTTTGTTTCAATACCTGTGGAAAGAATTTATTTTGTGTTTTGCTCCATTTTGAATTTACTATAAATATTTCATAAGTATAAAAGTAAATTAATTTTTATTTATAATAAAATAAATGTTTTATGATATCCTCCGGTGAGTAGAAAAAGAATGAGTATTGTCAAATTACGGATATATGTTTGTATTTGACGACGCTAAATTTATTTAATAATTATTATTAAATTTATAAAATATTTTAAAATTACATTAAATCATTTTTCTTATGTTTAATGTCAAATATTAATTATTATTAGGCTGTAAGTTATTGATTAAATTATGAATAAATAGTTTTGTAGGCAGTTTGTGGGGCGTAAACGTAGGTTAGTCGTAGTTATCAAATTACTACAATAACAAACCGTTATTTTAGTTATAAGTTCTAGGGAAAGTCAACATTCCTATATATAACTAGCGATCCATCCAGACTTCGACCGTGTTCTATAATATTAAAAGTTTACAAATTAAGTTCATCTGAATTAATGCGCGTTAGAAATTGTGAAATAGTTTTTTTCAGACACGTATAGTAGTTTAAAACATTATTCTCCTCATACATACAAAGATAGAAAATGTCTACTCTCTTTTTCTAATACACTACAGAACGTAAACTACATTTTACTTGCTATTAGTTCACCTCGTTCAGCTTTCATCCCTTTTAGGATTGATTAACAAAAACCTTTATTCCTCTCCATGTTAGACAAGGTTAAAAAAAACACACAAATTTACTTTTGAAATATATAATATATATCTACGCTAGAGTTCTTACTCTAGCGTAGATATATATTATATATTTCACATTTTAACATAATTTAATGATTTTGATTATTATATATCTAGAACGATATTATAATTCCTATTACTGTGATGATGCATTAAGTTATTTCATTTATTGTTGTTAAAGATGTAAATTTATGTGTATTATGATGTATCGTAAAGTTTTTGCCCGCGATTTTATCTTCTTCTTCTTCTTCTTTGTTGATTCCTCAAGACTGAGGGTTGTGAACACTAGAAATGCTTCTTCCAACCTAATCTCTTCAAAGATTTTATCTGCGTGACTTTTATTTATCGTGATAAAAAGTAGCAGTAGTTAGCAGCAGTAGTCTTCTCCTTTCATTCTCTTACTTATATTTTAATGCGGGTCTTATCTTTTTTTACCTTTATTATTTTTTATTTTGTTTATTTTGGGGATTTATATATTTTTTATAAAACAGAATACATCTATGCTACATTGCATACTGCGCCCCTGCAATCATGCAATCACATACGAAACAGCCTGAAATCTTTACAAAAGAGGGCACCACTGTTATAAGTATTATGATTACTACTTTCTACTATTTACCGTAATATTTTTTTACTCTCCTAGGTAGAGTTGTACTCACACATGTTGGGTACGTTACGTTACGTACGTTGGTAACGTAACTACATCATGTTGATGTTTACAATTGATCTCTTATTTCAACGTCGTAAAGTTGAATTTCGTTAATTGACAAATGGGACTTCGTATCTGTAATAGAATATAGCAGGGAATTCGGTGTCAACGTCCGTATACGGAACTCTGTTATCTTTCCCTTTGATATTTCTAAAACTTTTCTTAGTTAAGTTTTGTTTGTAAAAATGTCTAGTAAAATGTTAGATCGTTTTTTATTAAGAGTATTGTACACTGTTTTAAATTTGTCGCGGTCATTATTTATACGTATAATTCTTAGAATAAAACGTGGTAACATCGATTTTTCCCAATTGTGTATTTTACACTATAAATACAAGATGAAAACTTAAGCGAGAAATAATTAACTACATTAAACCATGTATTTATTATTACGGACCATTTATTATAAATAAGTCACTAAGGATAAATCACCTGAAATGGTGCACCCGCCTGCGCTAACAGTTTACGCTGGCGGGGCACCAGTGGAGGATGATAAGATGAGTATGAGGTCAGGTCAGTTAGTGCATGATGTTTTCCAAGGGGAACCAGGTGGAGTTTAACCTACATGTATATGATACTAGGTACATTGATAACGATAATGTTATTTGTTCACATTACTAACAATCGCCTTCCTCCAAATCAAATAGTTTAGTATATAATATAAAGTCAGGGCGAAATAGGTCGCCCTAACAACGAGATAGGATCCGTTCAGTCGTTTTGCGTGAAAGAGTAACAAATACCCATCCATACTCACAAACTTTCTCGTTTATAATATTGTTAAGATGTAACTTTCAATATTTCGATATATTATTGTATTTCACTTTGGAATTAATATCCCGTTTTATTTTAATATATTGTATTTAGTACTATTAACATGTTTGTTAGAGATAGAGGATAGAGGGTAAAAGACCTCGAGGCCGAAGTCCCACTCGATGGTCAGACCAGGTATCCCGTCAGCTAAACATTACTGTCAGCGCCGCACTAAACCAGGCCTCTGACCGCAACCGATGGCGACAGCTGGTCAACAAGATACTGTAGAGTCGCGATCCTCAGCAGTGAGTGAACGATTAAGAAGAACATGTTTGTTAAATTTTTAATTTAATACACTAAATTCATCTTATTTATTTCTTCTCACATATATAGCAATAAATATATTATCATTACTATATTAGTATTTTGGATTAATATAATTCACCATATTATAAACAATAGTTCGTTGATATTTGTTAAATAAATTTTATTTTATTAATCACATAACTTTATTCAAATAAGTTTTAACAAAATGTGGATAACAATTACAAAGATATTGTTTTTATTACAAATCTATTTCCAATATGTATACAATGGTATAATGGTACGAATAAATGGAAATTTGGTAACGCTCGTTGTGGTCCCTGTCATAAAGGCTTTTATGGGAAACCTGACGCACTTATGTGGGTTTCCATATCAGCAGAAAAGGGCTGTATGCATATCTAACACTTATTACCTACTAACCAATTGTTGTTTCAATTTTGCGGATGTTTAAACAAATTTATATTAAATTATTTTAATTAATTTTCGTTGTACGGTTTAATCGAGGCGTAACATGCCCATATTTCGATTTCTTTGAATTTAATAAAACTGGAAGTCTTGGAAGACAATCGTTTCTTTGATTAAATTGGATAAGTATATTTTCATGTATAAGTATACATCATAAGAAGATAATAGAAATTAAAATAAAAACAAATAAATCACAAATACATATTTTAGACGATGGTTCCCACTTAGTATCAGACGGGCCATTAGTATGTTAGTCATTTAAATTACATAAACAAAGCCTAGACGGTGTCAAGGCTTTTTTAACTGTTTATATAGAGGTGAGCATATCATTTGACATGCCTACATTTTACACGCAAATCAAATATACTCAGTATATTTGACTTCAACGATACAAGAGACGAACTTAACACCATTCTTTGAATTACTTGGTTTTATAATTGTTCTAATATTTTATGTATATTACACGAGTGCGTAAAAATATGAATACCAATTTTCTTAGTGTCGGCTAGATTTAAACTAACTTATATCACACAAGAGTCATTTTAAAATATATACTATTTTTTTAGGATCCGCCAGATTTTAACTGGATAACTTTTAAGTTTATAAGTTCGGGTACAGTCGGGAATTACACTAGTTTACTTCTAATACTATAATTAAGATAATACCTTATTATTATTCTAATATAACAAAGTTCATCATAAAAGCCGGTAAAAACCCTTATCGGGTTTACAATAAAGCTAATTGTGTAATTTTAATTCATACAATGTAGTTTATATTTTAATAATGTATTTATGTAGAATATAAAATAGTTTCGAGGCAGTCTCGCCTGCTTGAACCTTATTTCCCGTAGTTCCTGTCTTCCTGAATACTTATGTACCTCAAGCACAGAATATTATAATAGTACTCGTCGCGGCGTAGCCGGATGCTGGAATATTAAAATTTTCAACTTAGTGTTTGTATGTGTAGTACTAAAAGATAAATAAGTTATGAATATTTATTTATGTTACGAAGTTTACACCAACAATTACATTATATGAAACAAATTACAATATATTAAACACTAGCTCTGGTTTCCCCCGCGTTAAATTTCAATAAAAAATAATGCCTATATGTTATTCTGATGTATTTAAGAGCAACAAACATCTGTACTTACAAACTTTCGCGTTTATAATATTAATAAGACTAAGATGCTAAACGCGAACTTAAATATAAGCAACTACGACATTTGTATGACATTGTGCTTACATTAACAAAACATATGATGTATGACTGATGACTTTAGAATATAATGTATTAAAAAAAACTTTAACTTTAACTTATAGGTACTATGTGTTCTATATAACTGGCAAAAATACTTACTTTTTATACAATCGGTATGACAAACAAGCTGAGGGTCCAACTGATAGTAAATGATAAAAATATACTAATATGTGCTATGATTTAGATTGAATTTTTTCAAAATTTGACATTACACATTTTTAGTGTAATGATTTTTTTAATATCGTACAATGTCGTTACTACACAGTAGTTATATGTATATCTATGTATAAGTAAAATATTATTTATAAGGAAAATCGTCACAAATAAACTAACGAACAATTATTGTGTCTCGTTATGGTACAATACGGAAAAAATGTACTTTTCCCAAAATTACATCCATCGAATATTAAAGAAGAATACATCGTAGTCTAAGCTTTAATAAAAATAAGAAAAGCTTATTAGTTACGATCTCTATGTTATCCGGTCTGGGTATTTATACGTGTATTATGTAAGTATAAAAAAAATGTATCTATTTAAATATATCAGTTGTCTAATACCC